GAGCTATTCTGTGAAAAACACACAGCAAGACTTCCTTGAGATGTCCATCTGTTTGTGTGCTTTCCTTAGCCAGGTTTAATTTGGATTTAGGAGCATGTTAGAGATACCTCAGAACAGTTGCTGTAAAGGATGACCATAGGTTTCTGTGGGTGAGTAGCTGGAGGCTGTTAAAAAGCAAAGCTGCTGCAGCTTCTGAAGATTCAGTCGGTCAGTACAGTTTTTCAGGATAACTGCAGTGTGTCCCAAGGAATCACACTAGACATGTTTTTTGCTTTTCCTTTTTCTTGACAGTAAATCCAAGGGAGATGTTTTGTGGAGTGGGAGCAAGTACACACTCTGACACTTGCTGAGGGAAGGTGGATTCATAAATGAATCCACGTATGAGTGAGCAGTTGTCTGTAGGCGTGGTTCAGTGCAGCAGTATTTAGATCTTCTGTCTGTATTTACCTGAGAGATGAATGAACAGAAATATTCTCCCTTACATATGCTGTTGCACAGGATTTGCAGTCACAGAAATATGCAACTAGAAATAAATAATGACCCATAGACTTGGTGGTATCAGATGGGTGGCAGTGTTGCAGCAGACAGATCCAACTTTCTCGTACAGACAGATCCACAAATGCAGGATGTGAAAGTAGTATCTGGGAGATACTCAAAAGCTTTCTGGACATGGTCCTGGACAACTACTGGATCTTGGTGGCCCTGCCTGAGCAGGAGATTGGACCAGGTGAACTCCAGAGGTCCCTTCCAGCCCCAATTGATCTGTGATTCAGTAACAACCTTTGAAAAGCAAAGCATTAGAAAAACACTCTTAATTCTCAATCAGGTGTAGGTCATAAAGAGCTTATTACATCACCCAAGTAGTTTGTGACACTTTTTTGTTTCCTTTGGGACCTGTGGTAAGTTGTGCCATATGAATGACTGTTGGATCCAGAAGAGCAGAGCACTGACTGCTCATGAGACAGTGGTGCCACGTTAACCCATGTGTTTCAAGAGTCATGTGCTGCAGGTGGCATGCAGGGAGGTGACTTGTGGCTGTTGATGGCACTTAATCTAATGTGTTATGTGTAATAGTAATTTGTGATATTTAAGTATCTCTTCATTGTACCTGCTGGGGATTCTGTGTGTGTTTATTTAAATGTGCACTTAGGTTTTTAATGTAGATTCAACAAAATAGGGTCTGGGCGTGCTTGTACTCTGCAGATGTGGTCAGGCACAAAGAATGGTGGGATTTTTTCTCCCCTGTCATTTTTATTTTCTGTAAGGCAGTGATTAGAGATCTTACTTACTAACAAACCAGCTCCCTTGTAACTGTCATTGGAGATTTTGGGTCTCTGCTCCTGTGCCTGCCTGAGGCTGAAGACCATCTGTCACCTAGTGTGGAGGGGATTGCCAAGTCCCTATGCCCATCCCTGCCCTTGCCATGTGCTAATGATGCTGTTGAATGGTGTTTCCAAACAGGAAGTCTAAAACCTATGACTTTCTATGAGTCTTATAGGTTTTCTGCCTGTATGACTGTATTGCCTTCAGCACAGTGGGAAAAGGAAGCAAAACAAGTTCTGAATGCTTTCGTGGTTAGTTTTAGCTGCCAGTCAGGTATTGCAGTCACTGGGAAGGTGATTAACCCAGGCACCTCTGGTGCTGTTAGCTCCTTTCTGGGGCTGTGCAGTCTCACTCTGAGCTCCCATGTCTCACTTTGTGCTTTATGTGTTTATTTTAAGTAGCACAACAATTTTCACACTTTTGAAGCTCCAGGCTTCACAAGGGGAGGGAGGAGGAAGCAGGAGTTGCCCCCTTGCAGCAGGCTTGCTCTGAAAGCTGCTGTTTTCTTAGGCCAGCTGCCCTGAGTGTTTAAAAGCAACAGTCCATCTTCTTGGTGAATAACCAGTATATGGTTTTACTGGAGGAGTTTTAGGAGGGCGAAATACCTTTAAAGGAACTGCTGTATTTAATCTTCAACAGCACCAAAAGGCAGAATCATGAGGTGTTTTTGGATTGTGTGCTGCAGAATAGAGACATTGGAAAGCTTGTACAGGAAGAAGAGCCTGAGAGTGTTAACAGTTGAGAATTTGGTAAGATCTTGAGAGAGAGAGAAAGCATAAGGCCCTCACCTCACATGATTTTGTCTGGTTTGTGGCATGATGCCAAAACCTCCTGGTGGGAGGGCACACAGCTCCCCTTATCTGGACCGTCAAATATAATGGAAAATTGTATTGCCAGAGAGACTGACTATTGAATTGTAACCTGTATTCTTATACAAGCATTGATCATTATAGTGTTTAATTTACCAGCATCTTTTCAGGACAGATTGACCATCATCTCAAATTCAGTAATATGTCATCGACATTTCTCAGGGACTCAGTTTGTGCTAAGTCTTCCCTTTACAAAGCCTTGTGGATATGGACAAAGCACTTAAATTATTTCAGTTCTGTTCTAGAACTGCACTTGTTCAGTCTTTTCCTTTTGAATTGGAAATAACCCTTTTTGTTATTTCAGAATAATATCCACACAACTGGTAATTATAAAGCAATTATCCCAACTTGGTTTATTCTATTACTGCTGTTCTAGTTCATTTTCTACCACAGGTGTAGAGCAATAACCTAGGCAGATTTGCTGAAGTCAAAAGGGGGAGAAAAGTTTCTTCTAAATTTTTCTCTCACAAAACTTGTGTCATGAGAGGAAGAGTGTACTGTTAGTGTAATTTATGGTAATTATTTATACACACACACACACTAATTAGACCAAACCTGGAGTAAATTAAACTGATAGAAACTCTTTACTGCAAAGTAGTGTTAAAGCCCCAGTAGTCCTAAGGCATTGATCCATGCGGATTTCATCTCGGAGCCTCTGGGCTGCAGAAGAACTGGTGATGAGCAGTTGTTTGGTTCTGAGACACCAGGTCAGCACCATGCTCACTCATCCTTACCACTGCCCAGAAAAAAATCAATTATGAAAAGAAAAATAAAAAATAAGTTAAATTCAGTTGTGGAAGTTTTGCATCAAAACTGTGGATTTTTCTGGTTTTCTTTGTTTGCCATTCAATACTAAAATGTCCTTGCTCTGGAGGAGGTAGAGATTGTTAAGAATGGATTGAGAAACCCTTGGTTTGTAGGCAGTTAACAGTAATATGATTGTCTTGGTGTGCTGCAGATGCTCTGTGCTGCTCTTGGGGTGGCGGCTGGTTGGCAGAGCTGCTCTGTGGGTGAGGCACAGACCAGCTGTGCCATGGGTGCTGGGTGATGCTCCCAGGCCAGGCATGCCCTGCACAGCCACAGTCTTTGTGATCGTCTAGGCCATAGGGAGAAATCTGATCACTGTCAGCCCTGGAAAAATCTTAATGAAATTACAAGTTCCAAGAAGAGGTATCTTTACAAATGTGTATTACTTCCAAATGCACGTCCCTACATCTCAGAGACAGCACGTTTGCAGTACTGATGTCATGCATAGTGTTGGTCCCACTGATGAATATTAATTCTTAGCACCAATTTTCCATTGATCTACTCAGAGCTCCATTGGGTTTCTACAACTAAACCCTCTTAAGAAAGCAGTTGATATTTCAGGAGTCACAACGGACTGAGAAATTATATTCTGTGGTTTCCAACAGCTAAACTCCTTTAGAAAATGAATCAATTACTTTCCCAGGTGTCTGGTTTTCCTCTTGATGGGACAACAGAGAACTTCAAGGTTATGGGAAGGAGCCTGGCTAACCCCCGGCGCCGGCCAGTGTTGCAGCCTGCCGGGTTTTTTGCATTAAATATGGAATGATTAATCATGAGAGAGGGTACAGTTAACTGAAACAGCATTTTTGTTTTGTAAAGCGCATATTAAAAACACGGACATGGTTCTGCGAGTGGGCAGTAGCGGCGGGTCAGCTGGCAGCTGTTGCAGTGGAACGAGCCGGGGAGCTGCCGGCTGGTCCCCGCCGAGCCGCGGGAGCGGAGCGTGCGGCAGCAGTCGCGGCTGCCGCGGGCTCCGCGCCGGGACGCGTTCCGTTCAAAACCCTTTCAGGGAGGCTCCCTGCGGGACGCGCGCGGCTCGGCTCCGCGGCCCGGGAGGCCTCCGAGCCGCGAGGGGGCGGGCGGGCCGGGCCGTGCGGCGGGAGCCGCGCCCGGGCGGCGGGCGGCCGGCGGGAGCCATGCACGGGGAGCGGGACAAGGTACGGCGGGCACCGCGGGGTTCCTCCGCCGCAGGACGCACCGAGATCGCGACCCAGGGCTGGCCGGGATCGGAGCGTGGTCGGCTCCAGGGAGGAATGCCCGGGTCAGGAGCCGCCGGTGCGGCCGCACCTGCCCGCCCGGTTCTTCGCGGGTTCGCGGCGGGTACTTGGCGGGTTGGGCTGCGCTGGAACAGCATGTAACTTGTTTTTTTTCTTTTTCTTCATACGTGGGGTTTGTCCTTTGAAACTCACTGTTTTCCTGCCACTCGGAGATGCCTGGTCGCAGGGTTTGCCGCGGCAAGGCGTGCATTCGGGTGCCTCTCAAGCTCCATTTTTCTGTTACAAGCACTGACCGTAGTAGATCGGTTGTAGGTTTTGCTGTTGCTGCAATTCAGACAGGTGAAGCACTAGGAATGACTCGAGTTGCTGTACTCGAGTGGAGTTAAACCGTGTAGCTTCTGCTCTCAATTACCTTCTTGGTCTCTTCGCTCTCTAGCTATCTTGGTCTCTTTAGCTAGTTGAGCCCCTGCCCTTGTACTGATATCTTGGAGTACTTGGTCTGCCAAACTGGGGTGCCCTGTTGCATATTTGCTTGAGTTTTGAATTGTTTGAGGTGATAAGTAGAGTCAAGTATGAGAGGTTTTGCTTTTTTTTTAAACTTTTGCCGATCTCTGTAAAATATGTGAAGCTCTCCTGATTGATACTGTCTCCTGGCCAGCTGAAAAAAGGAACCTTTTTCCAGAATTATATCCATTTGCCAAGTTGGTGGGCATAAAGAAGGAAAGCTTTTCTGTTGATGAAGCTGCTGATTAGCACTCATGTTTCTTTCTCTCTCTGTGCTTAGATTGAGCGCTTGGAAGTCAGCAGCTTGGCGCAGACCTCCAGTGCCGTGGCCTCCAGCACTGATGGCAGCATCAATGCAGACTCTGTTGATGGGACCCCAGATCCGCAGCGGACAAAAGTGGCCATCACACACCTGCAGCAGAAGATACTGAAGCTGACAGAGCAGATCAAAATTGAGCAAACAGCCCGTGATGACAATGTGGCAGAGTACCTGAAATTGGCCAACAATGCAGACAAGCAGCAGAGTGCCCGCATTAAGCAAGTGTTTGAGAAGAAAAATCAAAAGTCAGCCCAGACCATCTTGCAGCTGCAGAAGAAACTGGAACATTACCATCGAAAGCTGCGAGAGATTGAGCAGAATGGGATCCCTCGGCAGCCAAAGGATGTCTTCAGGGATATGCATCAGGGTTTGAAGGATGTTGGAGCAAAAGTCACTGGCTTCAGTGAGGGAGTGGTAGACAGTGTAAAAGGTGGACTTTCCAGTTTCTCCCAGGCCACACATTCAGCAGCAGGAGCTGTGGTTTCCAAACCCCGGGAGATTGCCTCCCTCATAAGGAACAAGTTTGGGAGTGCAGACAATATTGCTAATCTGAAAGACTCCTTAGAAGAAGGCCAGGAAGATGGGGCAGGTGGCAAGGCTCTAGGTGTTATTCAGAACTTTCAGTCAAGCCCAAAATATGGCAGTGAAGAGGATTGCTCCAGTGCCACATCAGGCTCGGTGGGAGCCAACAGTACAACAGGGGGCCCTGTGGGAGCTTCCAGCTCCAAAACAAACACTCTGGATATGCAGAGCTCAGGGTTTGATGCAATACTGCATGAGATTCAAGAAATTCGAGAGACACAGGCAAGACTGGAAGAATCATTTGAGGACCTTAAGGTTCGCTACCAGAGGGATTACACATTAATAATGCAGACCCTGCAGGAGGAGCGGTACAGGTATGTGCTGTGGTACTTTGACAATACAATGCTGTGATTGCAAAGCACCAGAGTTGGGGATGGTAGTGCTCAGCAGGCTGTTCCCAGCAGCTTGATTCAAGTGGATAGTTCTGAGGTCTTCTCAGGACTTTTCCCTCCCAGTTCTGCCTTTTATAAATATTGCTATCTTGCTACTCACCTCCCTATCTGTACAAAAAGAGATTGTAAGGAAAAAGGTTATTTCAAAGTTTTTTCAAGATAAAAAGTGAAGCCGAAGAGGTCTAATAAGGTGTCCTAAACCCAGGAGTACATTGATGCAATTACTGTTATCAGGCAGTGCTTTGCCCTGCACAAAATACTGAAAAGGTTTGGATCAAAGCAAATGACAGGGAACTAATGTGGACATGACTTGACCCTGCCTTTTTCAACACTCAGATCCATATCTACCAGAGAAAGAAACATTCCAGCTTTCTTCAGATTCTCTAAAAAGACATGATATTGGACATGTGCCAAAACTAAGATATCTTCCCTTCTCTGTTCAGTCCACAGTGGCAGATCTCAGGGCAATGAAGTTGAATTAAATGTCAGATACTGACAGTACTCTTGTCATGGAGATTGTAAGTGACCCATGTTTCCATCAGTCTTCCCCCCACGGGAAGGAATGGAAAGGTGGAGCTGCTGATCCCCGATGAAGTCACAGGGAAGAAGTGATAGTGACCTTCAGTAAGGCAGTCTGACCAGCTGCCACCACCTCCCTGCTGAGCAAAGCTGCCCATGGAGCAGTGCTGAGGGAATGCTTCCCTTTCCTTGCTGGGTGGGAGAGGCTCTCTGCAGACTGCCCTGTGCTGTTCTGCTGAGTACCTGACATCCCCCAGCATGCACGCTGGGAGCAAGGGCTTGACTCCAGGCTCTGAAGGGAAAAGTTACTAGCTGCTCTTCTGCAGGCATCCTGGACAGAATTCTTAAACTTTAAATAACAAATGCAAAGCCCAATTCATGACTTTGCCAGGATGTGAAACACAAAGGCACAGCAGAGCTGCTGGGGGTGTGTACAGGCTTGCTGAAGTGCCCTGTGCCACTTGCTGCACTGGTTTGTGCAGCGTAACATGGAGTTGCCCTACAGCTCTTTAGACATGCTTATGCCAGAACGTTGGAAAAACTCTGGAAAAGGCTAGCCTGCTAGGATCTGGTAGAGACAGCAGGCTCTCAGTGTGCTTTGCAGAGCTTGGGCAAACAAAGCCAGACCAACACTACTTTCTAATCCTGCAATGCAATAATCAGCAGTTTGACTGAAACCGGCAACCAGTACAGCAGCTTTGGTTCCTAGTGCCTCAGTGTCATCAAGTCATCACAAAGCGATGTGAAGCTGGATCTTCTGTTCCTCAGCAGAGAGGTGCTGTTGTCTGTTGCTGTGTAGGTTGTTGTTTCACGCATACAGCAGCAGCCATTCATGGTGGAATGCTAAATGCAAGCATGGCACAGCTGACAGAGTGGCCTGAAAGTACAATAGTAGACCTTGGGGACTGATGTGTGCTGTCAGCTAAGCAGGCTAGTTGCTGCCCAGCACCTCTGAGCAAGGTTCACGTAGGTCCCATACTAGCGCACCATGAAGTCATACCTGTCATGTGCCATTAACCTTTGCAGAGCACTCCCTGAGGTCAGCCCAGACCCCAAGCACTAACCAAGGCAGCCTCGAATGAAAAGCAGGGAGAATCTGCGTTTGGCTTATAAAAGCTTAAGATAGTAATTTAGACCTGTCATTTGGAATGTTGATGCAAATTAATTAAAGGTGTGACCTTTAAAGAGGACCAGTTAAACCACACTCAGTGATCTTGTCTGTGTGGATAACTGCATGATCAGCAAGAGCTCATGGGTTAATCAGTTAGATGACTACAGGACTGTACAAATGTAGATTGTTGTTTTTATAGCTTCTGTATTTTGAACCATCACAATGATAAAAGCCGACTTCACCTTACAAGTAGAAGGTAATGTGATATGTCCAAGGGCAGAGGGTGCTGCTGCCTTGGCAGGGAGGGGTGGCGCCTGTTCCTCCAACTGGAACCCCTCTTACTCCTCAGCTCTCTTCAGAAAAAAGCTAAAGGAAGGGAGAGGAAGTTGTGGTTTAATGCTGGCAAGCTGGGGATTCAGATTAATCATAATTGGCTTTAAAAGTTGTAAATACCTCCTAAGTCTGCTCTGTTTATAGGAAGCTTTCAAAAACAAACACAGAGTTGAAGCTTAAAAAAAAAATTTTTGGAGAAGTCTTTTTCTTGTCAGGTGACACCAAGTGTTTGCATTGGACCTGGAAGCTGGAGCAAAGTACGTGCCATGACATTTTCTCACCTGGTCTTAATCCATTTCCTCTTTCTTAAATTGTCTACTGTTTTGCAGGTTCTGATCTTTTTTCCTGTTTGTGTTTGTGCAGTTTCTGTTTATCAGCCATGGCTTGCCTCACAGGTTTTCCTTGACCTCCTTCATCTCCTCCCTCCCCTCTCCCTGCTTCCAAATCTTGTCTATCACTTCGTGTGACTGCCAGTTTGCTAACCCTAGTCTCTGAGGCAGGGACTCGCCTGTCCAGTTGCTCCAGTTCTCCCACCCTGGTGCAGGCCTGGCAGCACCATGGGGAGGCCGGGGTGGGCTGTGCTGCCCAGCACATGCTGGCTCCGGAGCACTGCTCTGCTCTGCTGGGGCTGAGCCACTGAGGAAGGAAGGGCCTGACAGTACTGGGCCATCATTGTTTTCTTTGCACTAGGAGCAGGCGCTGAAATGGCTTCTTGCTAATATCATTATTGGAAGGTGGCAATTGTTTACCCGTACAAGCAGGGACTTTCTGTGCTATTGAGACTGAAATAAAGTTCCTACTGAGTATTTTCATCTTGTTTGTCCCTTCAGGAACCTGTTTGTACATGGCAAACCCATAAGCTCACATATTTGGAGTGTGGCCAGTCTAAGGTTTTGGGTTTCTTCCCAAGCCTGAGAGCCTTGGAAAGGGCATTTTGGTCTCCTATGCTCCTGTCAGAAAAAATCCTTCATCCAAAAGGCTAGTCACTGGTGCTTCCATTTGTGTGTTTTAACGTAGTCTAATTGTCACACTGCAGTCTGTCCTCATAATGTGTTCTAAAATAGATAAAAGGAGCTAAAGCTCTGAGGTCTAGGAGTGTTGGCATGGCTGTTCTGGAGTGTGGCTGGGCAGTGGAGGGCAGCGTGTTGGTGTTTACCCAGCCAGGGCAGCACCAAAACATCCCTGCAAAGCTGTCTGTGCTCCTTCCAGGGAGGCTTAGAGCTGGAAGTACAGGGATGTGTGTGGGTGTCAGGAGCATCTCATGCTCCCTGTTGGGAGCAAGCTCTGTCCTTTGTGTATCCTTCTAGGTAGAAGACTTGGTGCATACTACAAATAACTTCTGGTTTTAGCTCTTTACTCCACTATTGGAAGCAGTGTGTTCAGTAGTGTAAAGACGTATTTAGTGACAAATGTACATGAATGTTTGTATGACATAGCTATAAAGACAAAAAGGTCCATCTTGAGAGACACCTGAAGACAGGTACTAAACTTCATTCACAGTCTACTGCAGATGTCTTAGTTTGATCAGAGTTTACTCGCCATAGCACTGAGTGCAGATCAAATGTCTTTTTTTATCACATCCCTCCCTTCCATATGCTATGTTAGCTGTGTATTTTGCAGCTATTACTTTTAAATGCCTTCAAGCTTTTTAGAAAAATGAGATGGTCATAGTTGTGTTTCTGAGCCTTTTTCAGACCATTTTCCTGATTCCCATGCAGTGAGCCTCAGAAAACATATGGAAATAAAACATGACTATTTGAAATGAAGTGTTCCCATATCCCACATTTGAGCCAAACACCCCAGCTATTTACTGTGTCCATAGGAACAGCTCTCATGACCTCTGTGATTCTTGTGACAGGCAGCACTGATCTGCTGCACAGAGATGTTTCTGGGCAGGAGCTTGTTATTTTAAGGAGAAATTTCACATTTTAAATAGTAACAAAATAGTTCTTGAACTCCAAAGAGGCGTTTTCCATACATGAAGTGAAGTGGGATTTGATTATTCAGGGCACTGCAATATTCACAGACAAATTTAGTTTGTTCAATAGACCCTGGCACTCATGAACTAGAGGTATGTATTTCATCTTAATCCTCTTGACAAGTAGCCTATCCCTTTTATTTGTGTAATACTCCCACTTAAATGCAAACCAACTTTCAATAGAGAAATCCTGGTTCTGGGCCCTGTAAGTTGCATAAATCCCTCCTTGCTTTTTAAATTTGAACACCAATAGAAAGCAGATGGAAAAAAATAATTTTCTAAATTGTAGATATTGGGACAAGAAGTGAAAAGAAGCTGAATGGAGGATGTGTCATTTAAAAAATAAGTCAGGGTAGGTTAGTGGGGGCAGGGACATATTTTTTAAAATAACCCATTTCTAGCACTTGCCTGACACAGTGAGTTCTGGAAGTGCAGGTGATTCTTGGATGCAAACTGCAGCAGTTCTGAGGTTGAGCAGAGAGTGAAGTGATTGGGAATGAGCTGGTTGCTTCTGCAGTCTTCAGGACAGGAAGATTGGAGCCAACCCTTCTGCTAATCATGTTCTGTTTAAACTCTTGGCTATACAGATTAGCAGGGTTTCCTTATGTTTCCTGTAGATTGAGGTAGTTTTGAAGTTATTAAAATACAATTGTTTCCTGTTAGAGAACAGGATTTAAGCTGCTTGGCAACAGCTGCTTTATGAAAGGTGTTTATACGAGAGGAGGTAAAAAAAGTCATGCTATTTTCAGAAATGTTTAAGTTTCTTCTTGTGTAATAAACACACTGGTGAATTTTGTAATATAGTAACAAACTGAATATATTTCAAGTAATTGGTGCTGCCTTTGAGGCTTGGCATGGGTTTAGCTGTGTGCTTTTGGTTGTTGTCAAGTTGTTGTCAGTTTTAAGTTGTGTGGGAACAAAGGACAATATTAATTATCTGGGCTCCTTCTTCACTAGCCGCTCTTCACATGGCCATTTCCTTGTCAGTCCTGGGAAACCAGTTCTCTGGTGTGTCCTGGCACAGTTGCACAGCTCTTGTGGCACCTTTCTGGGCTCAGCCATGTCAGCTGGCAGTTGTCTTGATTTCACTGCTGGTTGACCACATGCATTTTACTGCTGCAAATTGTCATGCAGTCTCACTCCTTCTTAGTTTAAAGTAATATTTCATTGGGAACATAAATGAAAATTCTTTTCATACTTGTCTATTAAAAACAAAACCAAGGCTGTTTTTAAAGCCTAGCTTTTGACTGCAGATTCTAAAACACAAAAAAATATTGAAATAAATGAGAAGCAGGATTTGTGTCTTAGTTTCAGAACTTGCAATTAAATTCTTCATTCTAGATAAATATTGCTTGTGTTGTGGCTTTTTCTTTTTGGTAGGAATTCAGTGGAGTCAGAAGAAAACCAAAATTTAAACAAGGAATTATCTCTGTGGTTAATTTCTTATAAATGTCTTGGTTATTAGTATCAAGATTTAGATGATAAAGAATGTGTGGTAAGCTTTTTCTTCTACAATGCATAGACCGTGGAAAAAACCCAGTGGCCACCAAAGCTGTGCTCATACCTTTGTTACCATCAGAGCTACCATTTCAGTTAATTTATAATTCTCTTAGGGAGAAGCAAAACTTTATCTCTCAGAATTGTTATCATTCAGTTTGTTTAAGCAACCGTCTTCCTCAGGACTGCTCCTGGTCCATCCACCAGGAGCAAACTGAAAAATAAGCCTGCAGGTTAGTGATTCATGTGTCCTTCTTATAAATAATATGATGGTATTTGCTTGTTAAGTTGCATCATTCACGGGAGATAAAGGAAAAACAAATCAAAGATCCATGTGACCTCATGCAGAGATCAGACAGTAACAACATGTTCTCTGAGGCATCAGTCACATGTCATTTCCGTGTAATTTTTATGCTCATTACTGTTTCAAGTGTAGATGAAAATGCTTAGGAGTTTATGGTGTTAGAAGGGAACAGTTTGGTTTACATAGAAGTTTGGTGAATACCTCATTCTATTCTCATTCCATCCTCAATTTCTTGCATCACTCAACAGTTACCATGTAATTGTGTGTTTTCTGCAGGGTAGGAAAGTATCACAGAGTTTAAAAGAACTAATTTCTAGCAAGAGGGCATTAGTGCTAGTGTGCTGTGTGCTGACTGAGGCAGCCATGCTGGTTTCAGTACACAGGCCATGGTATTCATTGCTTATTTTGCCATCCTCTTCTCATTAAAGCCATTGACATGTGTTGTCATTTCTAGATGTGAAAGACTTGAAGAGCAGTTAAATGACTTGACTGAGCTCCACCAGAACGAGATCCTCAATTTAAAACAGGAGCTGGCCAGCATGGAGGAAAAGATTGCCTATCAGTCTTACGAGCGAGCCCGGGACATCCAGGTGGGTGACAGAAGCAAGGACCCAAGTCCTGCTGTCTGCCTGCTCTTTCAGGAACTTAGTCACTTTTGAAGTATGCTTGTGCTTCACTATTTGATTTTAATCCTTGTAGCCTTATTGCTAAACTGCTGCATTCCAAAAGGTCCTTATTCCATCTCTGACCTGTGGGTACCTCTCCAGCTAACCTCCTCCATAAAGCAGGGCTGTGTCCCACACTGAAGGGACCTACTGCTCAGCTGGAGCAGAGCAGGAGCCAGAGCCCACTCTTTGTGCAGGCTTTTATATTAGACACTCAATGGGCTGTGATCCAAACACTTCTTTTACAGTAGTGTTCCCAGCACATGGGCCCTGGGGTGTGTGATTTTACAGCAATGGTCACATACATCTAAGGAAAAATGGCTTTGTGTGTGCACTGCATTGAGTCAGGAAATAATTCTTTCTGTTGTCTTTGAAGAAATAAGGGGGTGTTTCTAAAAGAAAAGTTTCTTTTAGTATGTAAAAAAGGCTATGAAACAGGTCTTGAAGTTGGAATCCCTTCTATAAAGCAAAGCAGCTGCTGACCCTTACAGAAAAAGGCCTATTCAGAAACAAGTCTCTTGACTAGTATAAGTACTTGCTGTGGTAGTTTTAACAGATGTCTCAGTTCTGATTGTTGATGGGAGATATTTGTAGTGTGAGCAGAGAGTTGTACATTAAGAGTTCTCCCTTTTTCCTGCTGAGGTACTTCAGCCAGGTGATTTCCTCTGAAGACCATGCAGGCTATGCTGTTCACACACCAGCTGCAACTCCTGTTGTCAAACGTTCTTCTTGGTCACTGCTGTTTAAAGCAGCTGAGCAATTCTGCCTTGTGCTTTCAGGGGTCTTAACCAGGGAGAAGCCTTCATGTTTCATTAACCAGCACAGACATGATGCAATGAGAAATTTAACAGGTGACAATGACCTTTAACTTAAATTTAATCAGTGTCTGTGGACAGTGGTACAATGGCCCCTGGCAGTGTAAACAGGAGGCTCTCCCTTGGGGAAGTGTTACAACAGTCAGGTTTTGTTCTCCTCTCTAAATTCAGATGGCAGGAAGATTGAATTGAATTGGGGATTTCTCAAAAGTTCTTTTTAATCTACATTGTATGATTCAGTGTTTTAGTGTAAACTCAAAAGCTGGGACAGTGTTATTTCTCAGCACTGCTGGGGAAGAGGGAAGTGTCTTGTTGTATGAAAAACTATTGAAGAGCATGAGCTACTGTTGCAGAGCAACAGTCCTGGTTCCTTTTTTGGTGATCAGCCCGGGAAGTATTGCTGCAGACTTGTATATCATATTTGCAGTTGTGTCTGAAAAGCTGACTCTGAGGGAAGATTCATGGAAATACTTTAACTTGGTACCTTCAAGAGCAGAAGTCTCTCTTGGTGTTAATTGCCTGAAAACCTCTCTTCTTCTCCCTAGCCCCCTGCATTGCATGTCACCAGTGTTAGTGCAGGTTGGGTTGGTCCAGCTGGGATTCAGCCTGGTGAAAAGGTCTGACAAATCCTCCCTGAATCAGTGGGGTTTTAAAGAGGTGGATTTGCCCACTTCCTTTCATTCTGTCTCTTCCTGTAGGCAGTTCCATAAATGTCATGCTTCTTACCCTTCTAGATGTCTTTCCCCAGCCCTCACAGAGTCAGCTGTAACTGTGCCAGTGACACAGCTTGCTACAGTCTGGAGAAGATACCCTTGCTGCAATGGCAGCTGTGAAGTCCCAGCCTTACTGCCCCTCAGACTTTTCTTTCTCTGAGCTCACAGCTCACTAAGAAAGCGGAACACAGCTGAGCCTTTGGTAGTTATTTTTGTTGATGTAGTTTTCTGTGGCATTGCCTAGTTTTCTGCAAAGGGGTCAGATAAGTACAAGTGACTCCAAGGAAGGTGATGGAAGTTGAGGTTCTGGGAATACACATCCCAGAAGAAGATGAAGATTTCTGGCTAAGCACAGCACCTCTGTCCTCTGAGTGGCCTTTTGGAACCAAAGCTGAAGTGCCCAGGTGTCTGGGTAGCCCCCTTCTGGCAGAAGCTGTGGGATTTCCCAGCCTGGCACCTCCATGTTAAGCCTTCTGGGTGTAGATGAGGCACTGTGGTATATTGCAGGCTGCAGTACCCAGTCAGCAAGGGGCTTCTCACCTCAGATATGGGAAATGGCACTGCTTCCTCTGCTCCTACTGCAGGGCAGGAGCTCAGTGCATGAACGCTGTGAGGCATGGGGATAGTCCTGACCTGGCCTGGTTGGTGAGGTAACAGCTGTGAACTTGAGTAACCCAGCATGTGCTCTTGCCCACAGGAGGCACTGGAAGCGTGCCAGACACGCATTTCCAAGATGGAACTGCAGCAGCAGCAGCAGCAAGTGGTGCAGTTGGAGGGGCTGGAGAATGCCACAGCCAGAAACCTTCTGGGGAAGTTCATCAACATCTTGCTGGCTGTCATGGCTGTCCTCCTTGTCTTTGTATCCACTGTGGCCAACTGCGTCGTGCCCCTGATGAAGACTCGCAATAGGACGTTCAGCACTTTATTTATAGTGGTTTTCATTGCCTTTTTGTGGAAGCACTGGGATGCCATCACCGGCTACTTGGAACGATTCTTGTCTCCACCCAGATGATGGTAGCAGGAATGGGCTGCGCCGCTCCCTCCTGGTGCTCTTGGTGAGCAAGTGTGGCAAAGATTAGTCAGCAACTACTCTGCTGAAGTTTTAAAGTGTCCGAGTGAATTTGTTTACATTTAGAATAACGTTTTTTCTCTGCAAGATGCATTGCAATAGTATTTTTTAGATTTTATTCAAGAACTCTTTTGGCGAGAATCCTGGATAATTTTTATGTAGCATGGTTCTCTTTGGATGCAAATCTTAAGATTCTTTAAAGTGTACAAAAGAAATAAATAAAATACAGAAATTTGAAGCATACCAATGGGCAATTTAAATTGTGGCTTGAACTACTGTACTAAACCTGTCGGGAAGAAGAGAACATGGTTAGCTTAAGATGAGCAAAGCTCAATCTAGTGCACAGCCTTGAATGATGGTACCACAGCAAACCAGTAACACTAAACTTTTACTGTGAAGTCTGCTCACATTCCATGTCCGACTGTATGCGTTGAGTGGTTTCTTTCCTTAACAAGAGAAAAACAACAACGTGTGGATCCCTCTCCCAGCTCAGCATCTGGGTTCGCCGTTTGTGTTAACCTGATTTCAGTAAATTTCTGTAAGGCTGGCTAACTTGGCTGAGTATATGGAGTGGAAGCCTCATGCCATACACAGTAACTGCACAGTTGTGCTACAGTATTTTGAAGTAGTCCTTGAAATATACTCTTTAAGCAGAAGCCCTTGGTCGCACTTTTAAGGTTTTTTTAATATATGTATATTCACAGATTTAAAAAAAATCCAAACAGCATACTTGAAGAGTGTAATACTCAAACTCTCAGTGCTTCCTTATTGTTTCTAATAGGATTTTTTATTATTATTATAATTATAATTATTATTATTATTATTGGGGGGTTTTTTTTGAAAGGGTTGGGAGGGTCATTACTTTTTTCTTTCAAATAAAGAAGTGATGTTTTTAAATGAAGAAATGCGTGAATAATTGTGAGCCGTCTTGTCCTGAAGCAGTTCTGAGGGCAGAGAGTAGTTTCTAGTGTCAGCCTGTCAAGTGCAGCACTGTCCATATGCCATTTGTCTGTCCTCCTGAGCTTAAAGATGCAGCATCTTGAAAAACAGCTGTCTTCTCCACACCTTTTTGTCATGCAGGGCTTTTGTTTCTTTTTCCACATGTGAAGGATGGTATGTTTGTATTTTTTGTTTGCATTTTGTCTCTCATTCCTGGCCTCAGGATAAGAGCAAGGAATTTCTGTTCATCTCTTCCTAGGGAAAAGACAGGTTCTTTTGAGGAAAGAAATACTGACTCAACAGTTCACTTAACAGAATGGTTATCTCAAAAATAGTTTTAATAAAAAAAAAAAAAAACCTGAAAAGTGAAACCAAAGTTTTCCTCCTGTCAGACTCTGGTAAGATTATTTGTGTGTCTGTATCTGTGGTGTGCCATCCTCTTTTTCAGCCACAGGAGCCAACACTTGGTGCAGACACCTTTGTAAATCTTGAAAGGAAACATCAGCTTCAAATGTAACCCCAAGTCCTCACAATGTGCAATTGCTGGTGACCTGTTGGTACAGGCAGGCAGCCCTCAAGTCCAAGGAATCTCTGTTCATTCTGTGCCGATTTTTAACTGCTGTCCCTTTCACCATAACAGTGCCAAGATTCATCTTTTGTCTTCATGAAATCTAAAAAAATACCTCCAGGATTCTGTCAAAGCCATTTATGGTATTTAGTTAGGTCTTACTGTTTTCCTTCATTCCAGGATCAGCTTCCCTCTAGGAATCAGATGTTGCCCAAGTGACCTAAACCAGTTGAAGTCATACATGGGCATGTATGAGACATGTTCAACATATATACACACATACATGGGCATTGTGCTATGATTCAGATTCTGGGTTCTGAGAAATTCCCTCAAACAAGGTTAATACCTTGAGTGTTTTCTGATTGCTAGAAAAGGCAAGCCCTCCACTGTCCAACCATTTTTCTTCCTCCAAGGGTTCTTTTTTTCTGTAGTCACAGGAAACTCAGGTGCCCTTCCCCCAGGGATCCCAGTACACCTCTCTGTCACCATGTGCACTAATCTGCTCCTGTCCTAATTAAAACAAAGATTGCTATTTACAGCTGACTCAAGCCAAAACTGCTTGTGCTTTCTGCAGTGCCACAGCCAGAGCAGAGGTGCGTGGCCATTCCCTCCCTTGCTTCTGGCTCCAGTGAGGCTCTTCTCTAGTGACTCACATTTCTTGGCTATCATCTTCCCATTACGCAGGTTTTGTCAGAAAGAAATGTGTGAATAACAGTAAGAACTGATTTGGCACATAACTGAAATACTTTGTTGCCTTTTTTTCTGAAACCTGGCCTTTGTACCTCTTTTTCTCAGTCTTCTCACACTAGAATTGCTTTATGTTGTCAAATCAGGAAGGAGTTAAAAGCCAATGGCTCTGGACACTCAGTGTCTGTAGTACTTAAAGGAAGTGTTTGTCCCTCTTCTTTAAATCCTAATTTAATTTATTTTCTGAACTCTGTCATACTCAGTAAATACCATTTGCTAGCTTTGCCAGAAGGTGCAGGCTTAATAGAAGCTGACATCACAGAACTCTTTGGTGAAGGCCATTATATGGGTCTGGACAAAGTGTTTGTCTCTTTCTCTCTCAACAGTTTCTTCCATTCCAGAAACTTGTCTGCAGTAACATCATATATCATGCTGCATCCACGTCTCATATCCTGACATAACTGCCATGTGTTTTGCCTTTTGCACAGCAGAACATTTTGGGGTTTTCCTCCCTCTTCAATTTGAAAGTCTGTGATGATTTCTGATAGCTTGATGATGATGTTGTTGGAAATGTGATTCTAGCTTTAAAGCTCCCTTTCCTTGTACATGGTTGTGTTTGCTTTCCTGATGGAGTGTTTCTGGATGATGTAGAGCACAGTTTCTGCTGTGGATGTGGGTGCGTGTGTGAGTACCTTTAATAGCCTCTTTTGTAGATAAAAACTTTTTAGTTACCATCACTGAGTTGCAGAATGTTCCCCAAAACATTTCATATTCGGAGTTGAAGTGATTCAGAAATTGCTTAGATGTGTTTAGCACATGCATTGGCACATTAAAAGGGAAAAATATAATGGGCTGTGTAAGTTCCAAGAGCAGAACCTCCTCATTAACATTTGAGGGTTCAAGTGAAGTTCATCTGTTTCCCCCATTTCCTTCAATATAAAGAAGAAAGAAAATCTTGATGCAAAAAAAAATTACTTTTAAAACTTTTATAAAGCTGTTTTTTCTCTCAGCCTCATTAGTTTAGTTCAAGGATACTCAGCATGCTCCCAAGCAGTGCTGTATTTATTCAGTGCTGGTTTATTCCAATGCCGTGCGTGCTTAGGTGGGATCAGATGAACTGCTGACTTATGAGTGTGTTACACTGGGACAGGAAAGCACTGTCTGTCAGCTTTGAAAATATGCATTTTTTTAAATTAAAAAAAGAAAAGGCATTATAACAAAAGAAGCCAAGCTACAAAGGGTTCAAGATTTGGTAGTTTTGCCAGTTTTTAAATGAATTCTGAAAGTGGCTAAAGAGTTACCCTGTGTGTCTGTGTTGTGTATGCCAGGTGGTATAGTTGTAGGCAATTGACTTAGCTGTAAGTGTGTTTTAAAAGTGTAAAAAAATAAACAAAAAAACTCACTTGCACGGGTTGAAAAGTACAGAAATGACACTTGTGAACGTAACACTGTAGTTTATAGATCTTAAGCTGCTAATTGTTGAGAGAGATTTACATTTGTCTTGTCTGATTGTCGCAGATTTATCTGTGGCACTTTTACTGTATATAAAAAAACTTTAAATAAAGACCTCAGCTATTAACACCGGTCTAGTTTGGATCTTTCCAGAAGGGCAGGGGAAGGGAGGTGCTATCATGGAGAAGAAGAGGGGTGTGTCAAAACCGCTGAGCCCTGAGAGCTCAAAATGTGAGCAGATTTTCCATAGCTTGGATTGTCAGACTTTATCCTACACTCAGCCAGCTACACACCACTAGGGCGCAATGAAAATAAGCTGTTGCCAGTGTCTGGTCTTTGTGGGTAGAGGAAAGGAGCAGCAGCATTGCATTCATCCTCACTGATCCTTTCCAGCCCCCTCGTGCCTGGGACAGCCTCTGGCAGGTTCCCTGTGGCCACATTATGACTCAGTTTGAGGTCGGTGCAGTCAGGCTTACCCGAGAAGGGTCTGTCTTGGAAGGACCAGAAGTTGGTCCTGTATTTTTCCACCACTGGTCTGTGGCCTGCCCTATCCCAGATGAGAATGGCCCTTGCTTCTGTGGACTTTGTCCTTAAGGGATTTCAGGGCTCGCTCTGTGTTGCATGCATGTTTAGAGGCAGGTGCAATTGTAGCATCACCCATGTGTCTCAGGGAGCTTGTGATGGAGCAGTTCAGGCCTGGTTCAGTTTGGATGAGGAAGGCTGCAGCCGGCAGGACAGCACTCCTTAGCAGAAAGTTCTGTCTCCCTGAGCAAAGGCAAGAGGCTAAACAATGTTGATTGAGCCACTGCTGTAAACAAGATTATTTTGGCTACTGTGTTTCGTAGAAGAATTTCTGAATCCTTTATTATTTGTACAAACTAAAAGTGAGTGGATTCCTCACTGGTGTGGAGAAGATACTTGTTCCTCTTGGTTTTTGGTCATGTGGTATGGGGAGCAAAGAACCAAGAAGGGAATGGAAGCAATATTAACAGTATTTTAAGGAGAAAGGTACTGAGTCCTTTTCTCTGTTTTCACAGAGATGCAAGTAATGTAAAGCCAGCAAGAGATCAAAAAGCAAAAGCAGTTGTTAGCAGGATTTTCCCCCGTAATCTCCACACAACCAGAATGCAAATTTGAGCAGTTTACAGATGAAGTGAGTGCATGGTGCTGCTTTTGCTAGAGCTGTCTAGCTCAGGATGGGACACGGTTGTGAAGGTAAATGGTTCTGCATTCTTTTTGGGGTGGTTACCTGAGAGGTGCTGGCTGTGGCTCAGGACCAGCAGAGGGCTATGATGACCAAAGGTGAATGCACTGGCCTTCTACTCCCATGTCAACAGATTTAATCTGATAATATAGGGTATTAGGTGGTGTTACTCAGCTTTTTGGTTAGTCTGTGGGAAGTGGTTTGATAGCTCCACCCAGGTCCTGGGGAACAAACAGGGATATGGCAAGGGTACACCCATGCTGGGTTGCAGCAGTGGAGGTGAGGAATTGGCTGATGTTTCTCACTGGAGCAGTCATTCTCCCCAGCCAAATAACATCACTTTGATGTGCTAATCGTGGAAATTTTTGCAAACAGCCAGCTCCCTACCACAAA